TTGCAGGAGAAATTTCAAAGGCATGAGACATTCTCTAGTGTGTCTTCAGTTCCTATCTTACCTTCAGCAAAGCCACTCCTTCCTCCTAAAATTAAGCATGTGTGCGCATACACTCACAAACATGCATCCACATCCAAAGTCAGGTAGGAAAACTCAAAATTCCTGGCCCACACACAAGGTGAGTTTCAAGACCCTGAATCTCGAGCAGTAGACTGCTAAACATCTTTTTGTGGGCAAAATGCAGATAGAGGATATCTACCTGAGTAAGGCATAATTGCAGGCTTTAACAAACACAGGTTAAAGAGGAGTTGTGATGTTCCTAAGGGGGTTTTGCCATTGATTTTATATAAGGAGAATTTTATTGTAGGGCAGAATAAAAAGTAGTCAAGACATTGTTTTACTGATGTGCAAAGACTAACAGATTACAGTTTATTTTCAAACAATCCCTACTGGTTATAGAGTATTCTCGTTCCCAGTGCTCAACATATGGAGCAGTTCCACTGCAGATCAATGAGAACATATTGCTTTAATGCTGAAAATTGCAAGAAGGTTAAGACAAAGGTGACAGAATCCAAGGATATGCTAAACAATAGTCATTTAATGAGGCAGCTAGTTGGCTTTGAATGGTCTTTTCAGTTCTGTCCATCCCCAGTCATTACTCAGAAGGTCCAGACTCAAAAATTCCAAGTAAATAAGTTTGCAGTAGTTATAAATGTGTGCTAGGAAAGCAGTGCTCTTTAAAATGTAATGTCGACTTCCTCGCAATAGGTTTGCTGGAAGTGGGATTTATGGTTTTGCTTTAGGCTGTTGTCTTCCAGGCAGGCTTTTTGGGGTTGCAGCTGTAGCATGGCATTTAGCGTCATTTTCAAATTTAATTGATCATAAGTGGCATTATATGCTTTTCTAAACCTTGAAAAAATGGTATTTTGCTCTTCATTATAAGTCACGTGTATGTAATATCTGCCATAAGAACCAGAGAAGCTATTTTTAAACTGGGGTTATGGATGAGGGAAAATTAACTTTTGTTCCTTTTCTCCCGTGCATGCTATACACGCCTGTCTTTTCCTAGCTGGAATGACCAAATGCTTTGGTCACTGCAAGCCATAAAAGCCAACATCTCAATTAAAACAAACACTATGGATTTTTATTGGTAGAAGGTGGTTTTCTTCATATAATTTGAATTTTTCAAGCAGATGACTTTACAGCCCCAGAGAACACAGTAGCTGCAGCACTAATACAAGCATTTCCACAGTAACCTGCCAATGTGACTCAAGCATGGCTTGACAGGGCCATCTTCAAGGGGGAGGAGGGCAGAGAGGCTCTAGAAACATTCAGTCCATGATTTGGCTGTAAGGGCAACAACTGTAACGCTTTGTGTAATATGAATTTTAATGGGAAGAGGGTGTCCAAACCCCTTAGGCAGATTTGACAGCCTTGGCCTCTGTGTATCTGTCTTAATTAATTTTTAGTATTTGCAAACCAGGTTTAGGTCATCAGATTAACGAGACTGTGTATGTCCAAAGTAGTAATACTTTTTTATTACTGTATTACTTCATAAAATGACCATGGTTTTTTTTTTAAAGAAAAAAAAGTTCAAAGATCAATTCAGTTTTAAAGTACATAAGCCAGCATATCTTCTAATATTTGAGGACAAAGTTGGACCTTAGTATTAAACAGTTTTCAACCTCCATAGACATCTTCAGGGATCGCTTTACTGAGAACGAAAAATCATTGATCAAAGAGAGATTAAAATAATAGCTTAGCCCAGAAGAATTAAATTCAATAAATACACTTATATGTAAAAACCCACAGATTCTGAAACACAGAGCGTGGCTAGTCTTATTATGGTTTCCTTCTCAGGTGATAATGCATTCTCCTAGAATAAAAGTAGTACAATAGTATCTATTAAAATACTTTCTTGTTGTGTGACCCATCCTGTTTGTTTCTTTTAAGGTTTCCACCTGCTGTACTCCAAGCAGTGAAGCAGAGGATCCAAACACTTTCTCATATTACAAATAAGTGCATGTATTGATTTAAAAAAAAAAAAAAAAAAAAAAAAATACCATTTTTTTCCTAAAAACTCAGTAAGGGGGTTATTTTT